ATTTCTGGGACACGTGATGAGAAAGGAAGGCTTGGAGAATCTGATACTCACGGGACGAATAGAGGGAAAAAGAGACCGGGAAAAGCAGCGCGTGACAGACGTGGCGGGTTTGGACAAGTAGATGGCGGAGCGTCGTCTGGGGGAGTCGGTAGAAACACAAAACCTGTTTAGAGTCACAAGGGATAAGACGAAGAGGAGGGCCATGATCCTGAAAAGAAAATGTTGAAACTTGACTAATGCATGGAATAATAATGCAACACAAAATGTACTTAGAACAAAATGTATTGAAACAAGAAAGTGTACACAATATTTACATATAGTCTTTTGTATATTCCTGGTAAGACCGTTCCTGGAGAATGTGTTGACTGAGTCGCAGTCGGGCAGAGTCTCTGGTTGAATCTCTTGATTCCTGCATTTATCTATCCACCCACGAGGATAAAATGTGGCACAAGGCCGGTTTAAAGTGGGTATCTCCGAGCCCTTAGGCTCGGCGAAAAATATAGCCTTTTTGAACCCGCCAAGACAGGTTTAAGGCCTGTCTACCACCCAGGACGAAACCCTGCCTCTCGGCAAAGCCTTGTCCGGGTCCCTCACTGCAGAGAGTTCGACTGAGAGTGAATCTCCTGATTCCTCCCTCGTCTTCCCGGTACCAACCATATTTATATGGTCGGTACTCCACTATGCAAATTAGGTGGATCCTACCACAACAGAAAACAACACGTAAAAAGGAAGAAATACCTATATTTGGCGTTTTGGTTTGATTTTTTTCAGTCACGTTCTCTTCTGTCCATGTCATTTTAGAGATGTGAAATATGGATATACATTTCAGACACTAAATATAATTAGCATTCTGGGACATAAGTAGTATTTTTTTGCCTCGACGCCATAATATATTTTAAAGTTTCATAAACGTTACACAGAGTAAAAAAAGATTAAAAAAATATTTAATATTAACACTGCCCCAAAATAGTTATGACATTTGCATACCCATTGTATACCCTAAATGTAACAAATATTATGGGACAGATATAGAATTTTAAAATTTTCTGTCCCATTATATATGTTACACTTGTATATACATTTCGTATACATAATGTAACAGTCATTTTGGGACAGAGTAGCAATCTTACAATTATATATGCTACATTTGACACACACTGAATACATAAACTGTAACAATTATTTTAGGAGAGAGGTAGTATTTTAAAATTTCCTATCCCATTATATTTGTTACATTTACATATGCATTTCGCATATATAATGTAACAACTATTTTGGGACAGAATAGCAATTATAGCATTATGTATGTTGCATACAAATTGACTACACTAATTTCCCAATTTTACCTTTATGTATGTTACACTTTGTATAGACGATATGTATAAACTATTATAGGATAGAGTTTTCTTCTTTATGTGATTTGTCTTCTCAGGACGTTGGCGATCACGGCACTCCACAATTTCCTGTCCTTTGTAGCTCTTCATAATTTTTCTTTTCTTTATTTCTCTTAAACCCTACTCTGCCATGTATTTACTAAAGCTCACTAATCCAGTCGGATTAGTGTGAATTATTGTGTGTCGATGATTTGGGTTTTAATATCTGACAGCCAGAGTCCTGTTGCCAGATATAGGGTTTTCCAGCAGCCACCCTCTTGACCCAGGGCAGCACTACCTTCTTAAAGCATTTGATATAGGCCTCTGTGTTGAGTCTGAGGCCCTCATCAAAAAAATTCGGCAGTTCTTTTCTTATCAGAACTGTCAGACCTAGTTTTCCAAGCTGCCTTACCTTCGTAATCACCATTAGACTCATCCAACTCTTTCAGAACCCTCTTGCACTGGCCTCATATTGACGCCTAAACACTCTGAAATGTTCGCATTGGAGCTTCTGGCGCGAATCCCAAGCAGTACAGCATGTCGTTTCGAAATTTCTGGCGGAGTAAATTGCATCATGGTGCTCTTTTTCTCACAGACGGTACCCAACTGACCCTACTATGCCGTGCAGTCGACAAAATGAAAAACAATCAACGCTTATGCATGAAATTAAAAAAAATAAAATGGCGACAATTTACTCATCGCACCCCCCCTCTCTCTCTCTCTCTCTCTCTCTCTCTCTATATATATATATATATATATATATATATATATATATGTATATGCATATGTATATATTTAAATATATACCAAGAACAATGCAGGGGAAAATGTATGACAATGTGCAAAAAGTTTTCTTGTGACGCGTTTCGTTCTTTAGGACTTCCTCTGAATAAATTTGTTATCTTGTCTCGAAACGAACAACACCATGATGATGATATTGTGCTATGTCAAAAGTACTCGGAATAAAATAATGTGTATCAACACGGTAATTTTTCCGCTCTTTTTAATGCTGACACTAAAAAGGTTGTCCGTGAATATAAAAGGATCCAATTAAAAATAATTAGACAAAACTTATCTAAATTATTCAATGAAATATGTGTTAATGAAAACACTCTGCCAAAATATGCGCAATATATATATATATATATATATATACGAGATCTGAGTCAAAAGTAGCGACACTTTTGCTATGGTAACATGTGTGGCTTCGGAAAGTCACTACTTCGAAGGAGATTAAATACCGAATTGATATGTGTTGTAGATTTGTTTTTTTAGCAGCAGTCCCGATACTTTTTGAACAGATCTTTTATGTTCTCTGTTACATTCATCATGAAGTGTTGCTTTTAACTTTTTCAAATACTTCTTATTTATTGAAATAATAATAATAATAATAATAATAATAATATATTTTTTATTTTTAGGCTGACAATTTTTTATTCATTCTTTTCTAAAGGATGATATATATATATATTTTTTTATTTTTGTCGAAATCAATTTTTCGCATTCATTATTTTCTTTTCTCGAAAAATGAAAAACTTACATTTTATTTATCCACCAAAGAAAAAAGAAATGATCTAAAAAAAAAAAAAAAAAAAAAAACCAAAAATCTTCCATCTCGCCTGGTGGTTAGTTGTTCAAGTGTGAAAAACGTTAACCAATAAATTTTGCACTTGTAAATATGCACCCGCTGACCTCCACTTATATTTTTTCAAATACATTCGAAAGCAATTTAGGCGATGAAAAATATACTTGATTTCCTGTCTATATACCTACCTTGATTGCACTCGCACAAGCATATGCATATATATGAGTGTGTGTTTGTGTTTAATATATATATATATATATATAAACGTTCTCAACTTCTAAATACATGTTTACTTACCAAATGTATGTGCTCTTATGCATATATATATATATATATATATATATATATATATATATATATATATGTATAATGGGTCTATATTAATATATATATATATAATGTAAAAAGAGATGTATGAACTTTTACATACATAAATGTATGCACATATATATATACATACATAATATGTAAAATATTTTATAAGATTACATATATGTGTTAACATAACCAATGTGTGCACATATATATATATATATATATATATATATATATATATACACATATATATATATATATATATATATATATATATATATATATACATATATATATATATATATATACACATATATATATATATATATATATATATATATATATATATATATATATACATGTATGTATGTATGTATGTATGTATGTATAATATCGATGTATAAGGCGGGAATGCCAATAGTGCACAGGCAGGATTACAGGGGTGAAAGTGAAAGAAAAGACTAAGAACAGAGAGGATTGAAGAAAAGACAAAAGATGAACGGGATTGAAAAATATAGAAAATGGCGAATGACGTGGCATTTAAAATTTTGAAGATTGTAATTATCAGAGAAGCAAGCAAACAGAAGTCACTTCCACAGGCGGTAAGTGCGAGAAAAAAAACTGTTGGAGTAGTAAAAGAGTTGGACATAGATTAAATTCATGTAGTGAGGGCGCCAGGTAAAAAGCTCTTCACAGCAGTTGTCTTGGAAATATTTGTAGAAAAGACAGAGGGAAGCTACACGTCGTCGATAAGAAATGAGCTGAAAATCGAGATGCCAAGTCAGATTACATTACAGATCCTTGTTTGGATTTTGTCAAGAACCTTGATTTGAATAGCAGGAGCACCAGATCAGTTAGGCAGTAATATTCAATGCACGAACAAATTGTAGATCTGCGAACGTGCAAGATGAATTCTGACGAGAAAAATCTTCTGGCACGACACAGTGACCCAAATGTCCTTGCAGTAGATGCAGCCATTTGTTCTATGTAGTCGCTCCTCTTTATGTCAGTTGAATACATAAGGGAAAAAAGGCGAAGTCTAGCGTTAGCCATGCTAATGGCAAGTAGAATGATGGTTAAATGAGATCAGATTTGTTTTGGAAGAGTTAAAAATCACAAGCTATTTCCTGACCCAGTTAACCATTGATTAGAGGACCTTTTCAAGAACAGCCATAAGCCCTAAGTACAAGGTGTTTTACAATGTTTTTATTTGACATTATTAGACAAAATATTTAATGCTATTGCAGTTTTTTATTTGACGTAAACGAATTATTTAATGATAATTCAGGTTTTTATTTGACATTATCAAACGATACTAATGATATAATCAAATTCAAAAGCATCCACTTTAGTTTGCGGTTGATGAGACGCACCCGAAAGCTTTCACGGAGCCATGCCATGCTAATATTTGCAGCGTGAGGAGGAGCACCATCTTGCTGGAACCACTGTCCCTCATCTTCAAGATTATTACTCTCCTCGAGCTCTCCCCATCTGAAAAGCCGCTGCTTGGTTTCAACACCCTATATAAGCTTTTGATTATGGATATCTTTAGATTGGCTGGGTGGTAGCTATCAAAATTTAAACAACAGTGACTGTCTATTGGTTTGGTAAAAAGGGATATAAATAACCTATATTTGACGATGCCTACCAATAAGTCTAAACTCGTGCAAGAATATTCTAATGTGAATTTAATGTTCTTTGAGAAATGTTAACTATATGTATAAGGTATGCAGAGCGTACTTATCATGCGCCCATATAAAATATTTCTCTATAATTATCTCCCTTTTCTTTTCACTTTTTTTTCATTCTTTGTTTATTTGCGCCAACTTGTTTCTATCTCGGTCTGTTTATATCTGTCTCCTGTTTTCAATATATCTCTCTGAGTTCCTCCCCTTTCTTACTTTCCTTCTTTCTCTATTGTCTCTGTATCACTGTTAGCTAATATATCTCAAACTATTCATATCTATCTATCTATCTATCTGGTTATTGGATGTCTCTGTAAAACTGCTTGTATAATATAAACTATTCATATCGCCTATTTAACATATACTATTCCTATCTATCTAAGACTATTCATATCTATCTATCTATCTATCTATCCGTTTCACTCTCTTCATATCTATCTATCTATATTCTTTTCTTTCTATCTATCTATCTATCTATCTATCTATCTATCTATCTATCTATCTATCTATCTATCTATCCTTTTCACTCTCTTCATATCTATCTATCTATCTATCTATCTATCTATCTATCTATCTATCTCAGTCAGTTCCTATCTATTATTGTTCATATCTATCTATCTATCTATCTATCTATCTATCTATCTATCTATCTATCCTTTTCACTCTCTTCATATCTATCTATCTATCTATCTATCTATCTATCTATCTATCTCAGTCAGTTCCTATCTATTATTGTTCATATCTATCTATCTATCTATCTATCTATCTATCTATCTATCTATCTATCTATCTATCTATCCTTTTCATTCTCTTCATATCTATCTATATTCTTTTCTTTCTATCTATCTATCTATCTATCTATCCTTTTCACTCTCTTCATATCTATCTATCTATCTATCTATCTATCTATCTCAGTCAGTTCCTATCTATTATTGTTCATATCTATCTATCTATCTATCTATCTATCTATCCTTTTCACTCTCTTCATATCTATCTATCTATCTATCTATCTATCTATCTATCTCAGTCAGTTCCTATCTATTATTGTTCATATCTATCTATCTATCTATCTGTCTATCTATCTATCCTTTTCACTCTCTTCATATCTATCTATCTATCTATCTATCTATCTCAGTCAGTTCCTATCTATTATTGTTCATATCTATCTATCTATCTATCTATCTATCTATCTATCTATCTATCTATCCTTTTCACTCTCTTCATATCTATCTATCTATCTATCTATCTATCTATCTATCTATCTATCTCAGTCAGTTCCTATCTATTATTGTTCATATCTATCTATCTATCTATCTATCTATCTATCTATCTATCTATCTATCTATCTATCTCAGTCAGTTCCTATCTATTATTGTTTCATATCTATCTATCTATCTATCTATCTATCTGTCTATCTATCTATCCTTTTCATCCATCATATCTATCTATCTATCTATCTATCTATCTATCTCAGTCAGTTCCTATCTATTATTGTTCATATCTATCTATCTATCTATCTATCTATCTATCTATCTATCTATCTATCCTTTTCACTCTCTTCATATCTATCTATCTATCTATCTATCTCAGTCAGTTCCTATCTATTATTGTTCATATCTATCTATCTATCTATCTGTCTATCTATCTATCCTTTTCACTCTCTTCATATCTATCTATCTATCTATCTCAGTCAGTTCCTATCTATTATTGTTCATATCTATCTATCTATCTATCTATCTATCTATCCTTTTCACTCTCTTCATATCTATCTATCTATCTATCTCAGTCAGTTCCTATCTATTATTGTTCATATCTATCTATCTATCTATCTATCTATCTATCTATCTATCTATCTATCTATCTATCTATTCTTTTCACTCTCTTCATATCTATCTATATTCTTTTCTATCTATCTATCTATCTTCTTTGCTATCTATCTATCTATCTATCTATCTATATATATATATATTCTTTGCTATCTATCTATCTATCTCACTTTTACATCGTTTGATTATCTGTCTATCTGTCTGTCTGTCTATCTCATTTTGGTATCATATGATTATCTATCTATCCATTTGCGTATCTTTTTTTTTACTTTGTACGTTCTATCTCAATATTCAAATCTCTCTCTCTCTCTCTCTATCTATCTATCTATCTATCTATCTATTTCGGCATATTCTTATGTATCCATATACGTTAAATCTGTAATTTTTATCGGTATGTTTTTATTAACAGTACATATCTCAGGTTCTGGACGCTGTTGATGAATAAGAAAATTTAAATAAATAAATAAATAAATAATAACACACTTTGTGAAATGAACTTGAAAGCAAAAAAGATAGAAAGAAAAATTCGAAGCCATGAGAAAATAAAAGAGAGAATCTCGGACGATGAATGTTTTAAGCAGATTAGAAAAAAAAAATAATTAAAAAGGTAAAACTCGGGCAAAGCAAAAATGAAATTCAATTGAAGAATTCGATGAAGAAAATGGTTTATATCAAATCGAATATGACATCATCTTCGTTGTCGGCATTATTTCGTATCCAAGAATATAATTTCTTCTTCACTGATCACTTTCTTTATAATGAACGATGGTTCGAGGTACTGCTTTCTCCATCATTGCAGCCGGCAGAGGATAGCAAAAAAAAAAAAAATGTTTATAGTTTCTGGAATTGTCATCAATGGTCAACTGAACTTGCTTTGTTTCGCTAAAAGTTTTATATTTTCATGAAAGTGTTGATGACTAATTTAGCCGCCAACTTGCTGTTTCAGGACTACAAGCTCCCAGCTTTACCAAAACCTGTTTCCGTTATCCATTCTCTATTGCCGTTTGGCTTTTCAAGAGTTGGTTTAAGGTGAACGAAAATCAGAGAAGCAAGTGCCGATGGTGAGTTTTGTGTCAATTTGCCAGGAAGTGACCCGCGTACTTCATTTCATGGCCTTCTTCTGCGGCACATATGAAATAAGACATGCACAATCCAGTTATAAAACTGCAACGGACTTCCGCTGATTCTGTTAGAATTTCCAGTTGCGCCTTCTATAGTATGTCCACCATGCGTAGCCCTACCAATCCGCTAGTTCAATCGTTGAGATATGAGAAAAGAACTCCTGACGGCACCGTTCTCTCAGGTAGTGGACGACGACAAGGAGCGAACATCAGAACAATAGTAAAAATCATTTCCAGTGCATTTTTGTTGCAACCTAGAAAGGGTTACTGAATGAGGAATAGCCAAAAAGGAGATTGAAATTGAAATAGTAATCTTTATAATATCAACAGAACACAATACTCGCCAGCGACGTGAAGTAGGTAAACTACACTCTAGTGGTGGACTACTTAAGCATCATATTACCCCCGCTTACAATAGTGTCACACGTATTTATGAGGATTGGGACATACACATTAGTGTCCATAGGTACGGAATATAAAAATAATAGAGGACTAAATTGATTATACTGAACCAATAGTAAAAAAATAAAGTTTTTGTTTTCTTTTTCAAATTGGAAAAAGATATACACCTTTGTTTTTTTATAGTAATATATTTTCAAGTGTCTTCGTCGTTGTCGCCATTATCTCGTATCCAAGAATTTAATTTCTTCTTCACTGATCGCTTTCTTTAAAATGAACGCGTTGATGACTAATTTAGCCGCTAACCTGCTGGTTCAGGACTAGAAGCTTCCAGCTACACCAAAACCTGTTTCCGTTATCTATTCTCTATCGTCGTTTGGCTTTTCAAGAGTTGGTTCAAGGTGAAAGAAAATCAGAGAAGCAAGTGCCGATGGCTAGAATTTGTCTCAACTTGCCAGGAAGTGACCCGTATATTTCATTTCATGACCTTCTTCTGCACACTACATTATTCGGACTATTGTCCTCATCGTTGTCGCCATGTTTATCACAACGTTTCGGCCGTTGTACGCTCCGGCCTTCTTCAGGTGTTTAGAATGTCGAACTGAACCCTTTCTTTCTTTCTTTATTTATTTAGACAGGGCCCGAAGAGTGTAGGTTCAATACCTGGTTAAGGCGGTTGAGAATTTTGAGAGGGAAAATTAACAGGAGATAACTGACATCCATTAGACATGGCACGTGGAACTAGAACAGTCTACCCCAGTGAGCGAAATAAAGGGTTCAGTTAGACATTCCAACTACCTGAAGAAGGCCGGAGCGTACAACGGCCGAAACGCTGTGATAAAGATGGCGACAAAGATGAGGACAATAGTCCGAATAATGTAAATAGCGTACATACTGACGTTCTTCTGCGTTACATATGAAATAAGACATGCAGAATCCAGTTATTAAACTGCAACCGACTTCCGCTGAATCTGTTATTTGTTTGATACAGAGAAATCCACCCCTTGTCTGGATGATTGGATTTCTCTATATTCTTGGTAACCGTAAATTCTGAATTTCCCTTGCAGTTAAAACGCAAAGTTACGCCAAAATTCGCTTTAGGATGAAATGGAGCTAATATTTTAAATTTAATTACAAAATTAAATTTAAAGTTTTAGCTTCCATTTTTGAAACATGGTTATTACTGTGTAGCGAAAAAAAACATATTTTAAATCATTTAATTTATAATATTAATGCTCTGTAAATTTACATTGAGCACTATTTTGTAAAAAATAAACATATCAATAAGAACACCGTATTACATATCTTACTGTTCTTTCTTTTTATTTAAATATATATATATATATATATATATATATATATATGTTCTGAACAATAAAATATATTAAAAAATTAAGAATTCAAATTTTCAGACACACTGGGTTATATATTAATATTGCTTCGTTTTTAATTTCAGTTAGATTCCTCGACTAGTTTCAGCCAACATGGTCATCAGAAGAAGAAAAAAAATTCTGTCAGGGTGGACATGGGTTATTGGTTAATAAATATTTTCCAATTTCTAAATAACTAAATTTAGGAAGGAAAATCTTTTTGCTCACTTTAAAGTTTCGTAGTGGACAACAAACATTTTGGTCTGAAATTTTAAAATGTCTCCACGCGCTTACAAATAATGTCTCTGATTGGTTAATAGATACGAATAGGAAAGTTCAAATGGGAGCCGAAAAATGATACAATAAATAAGTCAATTTTGAGTTGAAATAATATAAATCTGGTTACGGAGATAGGACCTGTTACAATTCTATGGGACTACACAATACACACTGACAGAACAATCAAAGCCAACCGTCCAGATATTGTTATTAGAGACCACAAACAAAAAAAAGTGTCTCCTTATTGATATGGCAGTACCTGCAGACTGCAATGTATCTTTGAAGATATTCAAAAAGCTGTCAAAATGCAAGGACGTTGAAATTGAAATCTCAAAAATGTGGTACATGGAAACATCAACTATTCCTGTTGTAACTGGAACGCTCGAATTGGCTGGAAAAGATTCCAGTAGACTCATTGAAGGGATTCCTGGAAGCCCATGCCTTAAAGAAATACAAAAAAATTGTTCTCAAGAGTACAGCCCACACGTTACGTAGGGATTTATTTGTGTAAAATATGTGTGTGTGTGTGTGTGTGTGTGTGTGTGTGTGTGTGTGTGTATGTTTAATTGGTCAGTGGAAAATGTCCTGATGCCATTTCTGACCTTACGTCTCTGGTCGGGACCCGGAAAGAATGGAGTACACACCAGAAATCAAAAGAAATAAAATAATAAAAAGAAAACACAATAGACTCATTGAATGGATTCCTGGTAGCCAATTCCCTAAAAAAATACAAGAAATTGTTCTCACGAATACAGCCCACACCTTACGAAGGGCTTGATCTATGTAAAAAAAAAAAATAATAATAATTGCTTAGTGGAAAATGCCATGATGCCATTTCTGACCTTAAGTCTCTGGGCGGGACCGGGACCAAAATGTGTAGACCCCAAAAATCAAAAGAAATAAAACATTAATAATAATGTAGTTTTCATCGAAAATATGAAGACACATACCAAAGTCCTGGAGTAAGAAATATACAAGGATTAATTGCATATTTCAATAGAGATAAAAAAAAACACACTGGATCTCAACAAACCGGCCATAAAAATGGCAGATAAAAAAAAAACAAAACAAGGTTTATTTATTGATGTATTTCGTCTTTTTGATACAGTGATAGAGTAAACGGAAGAAGGGGAGACAACTCTGACGCGCTGAAGCTTGAATTCACAATGCATCGGAAATGGATAAAAGTCACTAGTATACCAATCACTGGGACTGTATGTAAAATATGTGTGTGTGGGGGGGTTGTTTTTAATTGCTCAGTGGAAAATGTCATGATACCATTTCTGAACTTAGGTCTCTGAGGCGAGATCCAGAAAGAAATGAGTACAAACCAGATAAGAAAGGAAATAAAACAACAATAATAAATAATGATAATGCAATAAATAAGGAATTTAGTCTTTTCGGTGTCGATTTCTCGGTTATAAAAGCGCCCGTATAAGTTCGCAAAAATTAGGTTTTCAGTTCGTTATACAAATTGAAATTCTCAAAGTAATTAATTTATCCCATTTTCGCATATTTACTTGAGTATATTATATTACAAAAAAAAGAAAAAAAAAGAAAAAAAAAGCCTAGCGATGTTAAGAAAACACATACGGACTGAGTTTGTTTACAAATGTAAGCAGTAGTAATAATGCAGCTATCTTCGTTTACAGATCACTACCTACCGGCTGCCAACTGCTAGGAAATTACAGGCATACATAAAACTACGTAAATACACGACACACTCATTCTCACATGTAGACGAATTCTATTCGGTATTATACTAACGCAGTTGATTCGGTTGTGTTATAAAGAAAGTCAAACAAAACTATTTTCGTGTGAAGTTGTTTCGCAAAGAATCTTCTTAATTCATTTCTTTCCATTTGAAATAAAACTAATACTCAATAATAAAAATATATTTAAATGTGTATAGCCGTGTTTAAAGATATCGTTTATTTTTTCGTTTATCTTCGTTTATACCTCTACACAAGTTTACACGTTTGGGACAAACAAATGTTTGAGACAAACAGCTGTTTGAGACAAATGTTTGAGACAAACAGATGTTTGAGACAAACAAATACTTGAGACAAACATAAAGGAATGATCTAAATACTGTCGTGAGAGACGAAACTACTATAATGTGGGTCTTCCTTTAATTTTGTCTAACACAAGTCTGTAAGTAAGAGACACATAGTGATTATTAAAATTTTTAGACATACAATGGTTTCAGGTTGACAATGTTGCTCTAGGTGATGTTTTATTTGGTTTTTACTGGGGTACAGAAAATCAG